CTACGACTACTACTACCAATAGTCTTTTAGTACTACCTCGAGTATTACTACGACGACTACTATTCATACTATGACAAATACCACTACAAACGCTACTGCCACTGCTTCTGCGACTACTATCACTACTGGTATGACGACGGCCACTGCTACTATTATTACGATTCCGACGAGTACTATTATTCCCATTACGATTTTTTTTTATTATTATTGGCGTTGTTACTAGTACCACTGCTACGACTACGAGTAATACAGTTACGACTACTATGACTACTATTGCTACGACTGCTACTACTACGACTACGACTACTGCTATTACGGCAGCTAGTTACAACATGACTACTACTAGTACCTTCTTTTTCTTCAAGTTTGACTATTACTATTACTTTTTACTTCCCCTTTCACGTTTACTAAGGCTACCACTCCTACTACTACGACTACTACTACTACTACTACTACTACTAGTACTACTACTACTACTACTACTTCTACTTCTACTTCTACTTCTACTACAGCAACTACTACTACTACTACTACTACTACTGCTGCCACTACTACTACAACAACTACTACTACTACTACTACTACTACTACGACTACTATTACTACTACTACTACTACTACGACGACGACGACTACGACTACGACGACTACTACTACTACAACTACTACGCCTACCACTGCCACGACTACTACGACTACAGCTGTTTTATTAGGACGACAGCTACTATTATTATCATTACGACGACCGGTATTACCTCCATTACTACTACCACTACTACTACTACTACTACTACTACCACTACTACTACTACTACTACTACTACTACTACGACTACTGCTACTACTACGACTACGATTACATCACTACTACTACGACGACTTCTACTACTACTACTACTACTACTACCACTACTACTTTTATAAACAGTACGATTACAATTATTACTTCTACTACTACTACTACCACTACTACTACCACTACCACCGCGACGACGACCACTACTACGACTACTGCGACTATCTTTACCATTACGACTACTTCTAAGACGATTACTAACGCGTTTATTAATACTATTCTTACTACTACTACTACTACTACTACTACTACTACTACCAGGGCTGACACGACGACTACTACTATTACTTCTATTACTACAACTACTACTACTACTACGACGACGACGACGGCGACTACTACAACTACAACGATTACTACTACTACTATTACTACTACTACTACTACTACTACTACTACTACTGCTACGACTACTACTACTACTACTACTACTACTACTACCACTACTACTACGACTTCTACCACTACGACCAATACTTCGACTAAGGGTAATACTACGACCAATACTACGACTACTACTACTACGATTACTACTACTGCTACTACTACTACTACTACTACTACAACAGCTACTACTACTACTACTACTACTACTATTACTACTACTACTACTACTATTGATGCTGCTGCTACTACTACAACTACTGCCACTTCTACTACTACTGCTACTACATCTACGATTCTTATTACTACTTCTACTACTACGACTACTACTACTACGACGACTACGACTACTACTACTACTACTACTACTACTACTACGACTACTACTACTACGACTATTACTACTACTACTACTACTACTACTACTACTACTACTAGTACTACTCTACTACTACTACTACTACTACTACTACTACTACTACTACTACTACTACTACGACTACGACTACGACTACGACTACTACTACTACTACTACTACTACTACTACTACGACTACTACTACTACTACTACTACTACTACTACTACTACTACTACTACTACTACTACTACTACTACTACTACGACTACTACTACTACTACTACTGAGAGCAGACATGTAACAACAATTCAGAGTACCGAGTGCAATTGTGAGAATAATATCAGGGGGACCGATACGAACAATGCAAAGGATAAGCGTAGTACGGATAAGAGTATGTCACCCCCGGGGGCGCTATGACAATCGTGCTTCGCGCATCGCAGCTTGGATTGGAGAGGCGCCATTTTCCAGAGCGGCGGCGCGAGGACTCGAACGTAACTGCGAATCGCGCATTGCGGGGCGCGATGCACACAGTTGATAAGGAACCGGCACCGGCCTGGCAGCAGGTGCCCCACGGAAGCGTCTTGTCCCCCGATGACCTTGGGGGCCTACAGAAGCTCTGAGGCACCTTGGGGCCCACAGAAATCGACGAAAAATGTACCCCATGATATCTTATAACAGATTTCTCATCGCATGCGTCATCGTATGCATCTCGGGACCCGAAGGCTGAAGCATTGTGTGGGCCGTTGGCTGGTCGCCGTCGCCTGGGGCCCCGAAGCCTCCCGGCCCAAGCCCGCGTCGGACGCTGCCGAAGGCAGCGCGGGTCCGCCCCCGGAGCCCCGCCTCCGAGGCGGGCCCCCCCCTTTTCGGGGCAGCCCAGCGAGCCGTCCCCGTGGGAGGCAGGCAGAGGGGCACCGCCCAGGCGCCGTCTCAAGGCAGGCAGCCAGCCGGCGGCACTCCGCGGGGGGAAGCGAGAGGGGCCCCGGGATCCTGGCGCGGCCATTTTGTTGGCCACGGGCGTGCTCGCCAGGCTTCGGGCCGCAGGACCGTCACAGCTCGTTCCAGCTCGAGACGCGGCGTATAGAAAGAGATGGTATCTTCGGTTATGGTGATGATGTTTCGGAGAGTTGCTATTTTCGCTATGAGGTTCGAAGTTTTCGGGCGTTCCCGTCGGTCCTCGACGGTTTTCCAGCCTCGGGATGCGGGGATGCGTTCCAGCAGCTGTGCGCCTCGCCGAGAGCGTTCCGGGGATGCCCCGATCGTCCCGAACGGCCACCAGACCCGAGTTATGACCCGAAAACCAGACGGAAGGGATCTGTGGGTGGACAGGCCTCCTCAGAAGGCAGCGGGGAATCTCGGAAGGCTCCCTGGGTTTTGGGTGTTCTGCGAAGGCCCCCGTCCCTCCTCTGGCCTCCCCCTTTGGGCGCGCCGCCGAGCCAGGGGCAGCCCCAGGCGCCGTTTCAGGGAGGCAGCCAGGGGCAGGGGCGAGCCAGGGCGGCGCCTCGTGAGGCAGGGCCGGGAGGAGCCCGGGCGTCGTCGCCACATGGCGCCCAAGGGGCGCTTCGCCCGCAAGAAGGACTCCTCGACTACACGTGAGAGTGACCCTTCGCCGGAGTGACCTTCGGTGCGCGCTCGCTGGGGTCCTCCGATCGCCGCGCTCGGCGCGATAGTAGCGTCTTGCGCGCTTGTGTGTGGCCTCCTCGCGCCCCCCAAACTGCCGCGCACCACAGGTCACTCTTGCCCAGGGTCGCTCCTACGTGCAGCCGACAGGACCCCGAGGGCGCGGGGCTGGCGCCGCAGGAGCGCGTGCTGCCCCGCCGGGAGCGGGCGCTGGACCTCCCGAACGCCGTCTGCGTGCTGGTGGAGAACTACTTCACGATCGACGAGTGCGAGCGGTACATGGCGCTGCTGCAGAGCGAGCTGGACTGGAAGAGGCAGCAGATCGCGGTGCGGCCGAAGGACGACCAGGAGAAGGTCGTCGCGGAGCCGCGCATGACCCTCTTCATGTCCGACCCCGGCATCTGCTACGAGTACTCCGGCAGGGAGAACATGGGAAGAAGGAACAGCTGCATGGACATACGTGTTCGGAGCTCCGCGCGGATTTCTTGAATCGGCGCTGGCCCCCCCATCCTGGCGCGCGGAGCGCGCCAGGGGCGGCGCCGGAGGCGCAGCCAGGGGGGGCTCAGCGCAGATCCCAAATATCTGCGCGGAGGTCCGGAAGTTCAATGCTTATGCCGTTGTTTGTTGCTTCTGAACATCGGGGAGGGCTGGCAGCCGTTCGTGCTGGCCATCAAACAGTCGGCGGAACGCTTCGTGGTCGAGTGCGGGCAGCCGCCGGTGACCTTCAACTCGGTGCAGTTCAACCGCTACAACGGGCCCCGGCACACGCTCGGCATGCACGCCGACGACGAGCCGGACCTGCTGAAGGGGGCCCCGATTTCGAAGAAGAAAAAGCCGCACAAACGTGAATGTTCGGAGGTCCGAGCGGATTTTTTGAGTCTGCGCTGGAAACCCCCTGGCGGCGACTGTGGCACCGCCCCTGGCGCGCGGAGCGCGCCAGGGAGTGGGCCCAGCACCGATCCAGGAAATCCGCGCGGACCTCCGAACGTTTATGTACACGCCGTTGTTTCTGCTTCTACGATCGTATCTGTGAGCTTTGGATGTACTCGCGAGTTTGCCATCAAGAGACGAAACACGACAGACGAGGAGAAGGTTGTGGAGCTCGCCGACGGCAGCATACTGCTCATGGGGGGCGCCATGCAGTCGCACTACCTCCACGGTGCTCTGGGGCGGGCGAAAGGGCGGGGGACGGGGGGTACGAAATCCGCTGCGTGCACCTGCTTTGGCCCCACCGCTGAGCACGTTCCTCGATGCACGATCGCTCCTGGCGCATCCAGGCGCCCGAAAAGCCAGACGCATGCATCTGACTGGTGAATCCCCCCGATGGTACCACAATTTGTCTCAGACATCCGACGTCGTGATTCTTGTTCACAACATGGCTCCTCAGGGTCCGTCCGCCCCGAGACGCTCGCGGTCCCCGCTCTCTCTCTCTCTCTCTCTCTCTTTTTCTCTCTCTCTCTCTCTCTCTCTCTCTCCAAGGATCGCACGCCCCGCGCCCCGCCGGGCCCGACGGATTCAGGGGTGGATCGGGGAGGGGGGGCAGAAGGTGTCTAGTAATAGTTAAGACCCTACAGCAGCGACAACCACAACCGAACGCCATGCGGTGAAGGCGCGGATGCTCTGGAGACTCCGCCTGATCGCGTAGCGATATGAGTATGAAATCCGCCTGCACCCATTGAGGGTGCGTCTGCCCTCTCCTTTGGTGCTTCGCAGCTCTGCTGAGGACCTTTGGCCAAAGGCCCAAATGAATACGACGTAAATACTCGCATCCCGTGTTGGATGGGGGTTCGCAAACGGCGGTTGCTAGCTTCCCCGTCGTATGGGAGGTGAACATACCGCATTGGGAGCAAAACCAAATCCCCAGCCCAGCGTGGAACCTCGGACGATGGGTTTAATGAATCCATCCCCCACTTACATGTACTTGTTCACCCAGGGGGGGGCCTCATATAAGTGCCATCAATATTGATGAGGTTAAAGCTTTCAGACCTTTTGAATTCTACTTTATTGGCTATGGCAACAAATCCTTTACAGACAGTAGACTTACTGCCAGTCTCATCCAACAGATGGGCGGAGGCGAAAGCAGCACAAAGTGCAGGAACAGGAGGCTTGACAGGCTGGGCTCTGGTCCTACGTGGCTGTCTCCTACCAGCTGGGGCACTCTACTCATCTACTCTCTGGGCCCGCTCGAACTCAAGGGCCTCCAGGGTGGTCCTCAGGAGGCGCATGCGAACAAGTATCTCCTGTCGGATCTGCTTGAGCATTTGATACTCTTCGGCTGCGATATTGGCAAATGCATCGACTGTTGCATTGCCACACACGAGTAACCGAATCGCGTGCCCACGTATGGTGTCTTCTCCTTTCATGTGAGATCGTACAAACAACACAACAAAGTCACCGTCGCTGCGTTTCAGTTGCTGCCCGACTTGGTACAGAGATCGGCGGCAGGTCCTTCTGCGCTCTCTGGGTGTCCGTTGTAGGTAATCAAATAGACCCCTTCGCAAGATGTGGTGTAAACAACGTCATGATATGTTATCCGGAGGGCGAGAAGGAGGGCGCACAGTTCGCCTCTTGCCTGTCGCCAGCCAGAGGTCCCCACAGTGCCATCTTCAGCTCCATACCGTCAGCGTCGATGGCGGTGAACGTTGCGATGGCCATGCCCACTCGTCTGAGTACTGGTGATGCTGTGTCGGCTCCACCGCTGGCGTCGTCCAAAAATGTATAATGCTCCACCCTGGCGGCCCTGCTAGAATCAATATAGCACCAAAAGTGTCGATGTCGTATGTGTTCCATGTTCGCGTGGTTGTCGGTGGTGGTGTCGAGACCCATGCTTGAGGGATAAGCCTTGTTGTCCAGAAGCACTCGTACGTATCCTGCTGCCCCATTGTTTCACCTACGAGGTGCTCGGTGGCGGTGTAGACTGGGCAGCCCTTGTACTCGGCGCGTACGGTGGAATGGTGTTTCCTTCTTCTGCTGGCAGCGGGGGCATAGGCCGTCGGTGATTGCATTGATCTGGGACTGCACTCGTGCCTTGGGCCATGTGGCCCCCACTGTTATCGTGAGCATCAGCGCTGACAGCCTGATGCCCTGCTTCATCTTGGTCATGTAGTCTAACGACTTGCGGTAGGACCTGTTGTCGACCCCCTGTTCCATGCCAGAGACTCCGTAATGGGTATTGGCTTGGAGCCAGTACTGAGCCTGTACGCTGCGATCGATATCCTGGAGGAAGGCCGCTGGTATGTCAACTGCTGGATTCCCAGTGAGCTGTGCTGTGTCGAACTGCCACGTGGAATGGCCATCTCGCCCCACGATCGTCGGTGGTAGGGCCCACTCGTGAGGTCGCTTGGGTTCCCACCCCTGCTCTGGGGGGTAGAGGACAAGTGCTGAACGTGGTCCCCGTACATGGCGCGCACGCTGCCCAGCAGGCAGGGACCGAAAATGTTTGACGACGCTGTCCCACGCGAAGTCGATGGACCGCTGCATCGGCCCCGCTTGAATCCACGCACTGCGCCAGAGGTGTACTGCTTCGCGTGGGAACTTCCGAGCTGGGTCTTTCTCTGCTGTGCGGATGTTACCGCCAGCCTCATCAGGTAAGGAACCTTCCAGGGTCTGAAGTTTCTTGGACACGGTCCTTAAGCAACGCCCCCATAGCAATTGCAACAGCAGTGCAGTGAGCGGCTTAAATAAGGAACACGTACTTTTCACAAGGGGCTCGGTCGTTCCTCAGGCTTGCATGTGTTATGTTTCGTTCCTTATGCGTCATGTACTATGTATCGTTCATTACGCGTTATTCCGTGGAAAAGAAGGGGCTTCGTTCCTTATTAATCGTTCCTTAGGTCAGGCCGATGATTGTAGTAGCAGTAGCCTTCAAAATACCTACAAGCGACCCCCGAGGTGTGCCGCCGGGCGGCCAGACTGGGCTGAGGTTCAACCTCACGTTCCGCGTCTGCATCCCCCGTGAGTCCAGGAACCGAGGGCCGCCGGGAGGGCGCCGAGGTCTTCGCGGCTCGCGATTCCGTCCTCTTGACCCCTTCATCCTCACCGTCCTCATCCTCCTCCTCGTCCTCCTCCTCCTCCTCCTCCTCCTCCTCCTCCTTCTCTCCTCCTCCTCCTCCTCCTACTCCCCCCTCCTCCTCCTCCTCCTCCTCCTCCTCCTCCTCCTCCTCCTCCTCCTCCTCCTCCTCCTCCTCCTCCTCCTGCTCCTCCTCGTCCTGTTCGCGCAGCGCGAAGCGCGAACACAGCTGCCGGCGGCCCTTGAGGACCGAGGCGGGGCGCGTCCTAGTCGACCAGGGCCGCAGGCGGCCCCCGCCTGGCGCGCCGCCGGAGGTGGGGGCGGAGCTGCGGCGCTTCGCGGAGGAGAACGGCCTCGACGAGCGCTGCCTCGCGGTGCTCCAGCTCGGGTGCCGCCAAAGGCGTCCCTGGCCCAGTTCGTGAAGCGGATTCGTATCCGCGGCCTCGCGGGCCGGGCCCCTGGGCTGCGACCCCGCGGACGCGGGGCGTTTCTTCCCAGATGCCGCGCGTGGAAGGTATCCGTGCGACCGCGTATCCGCGGGATCGCGCCTTGGAATCCACACCGCGAGGGCGCGAGAGCGCGGAGAAGGGTGTGTTCGCTGCTCGTGAGCCCCGTGGCCCAGGGTTCAAGGCCTCCCTGAGTTGGGGCCGGCTGGGGGGGACGAGGCGGCCCCTACCACTGGTTCCGGCCAGCAGTGCGTAGGAGGGATAAGGGCGCCCTTCGCCGCCACGGCTGGACGCGGCTCGAAAAACTTGTCCTGGGAAGGGTCCCGGAACAGATGTTGAGTCGGGACGATCGACATGGGTACGGAAAGATGGAGTGCCATGCCCAACAGCAGTTCCCGTTCATTTTGAACAGAACTCGCTGTCCGCGCCGCCGCGGACGTTGTTCATTGAAGATATAAAGCCGCCTGCCTATCAGCGGCCGCTGTCGGTGTTTGACAACATTTGTTGTCGGGCATTGTACCCATTTTTCCCGTATCCGTTCCGGGCGTCCAAATTAAGCGGATTTGCTTGCGTCCCCCGTCTTGACCGACTGTCTCAGAGCCCATCCAGCTTAAACCCTCTGGCCGCCTCCAACTCTACACGAGCATATGGAGTCGGAGGATCTCACCGCAGGCTGTGCATCGGCGATGCGGCTCGATGTGGAGCCCGATGTTCTCCACGCCGACGTCGCCAATGCATCGCCGATGCAGCGGCGATGCGGCGCGATCCTCCGACCCCTTCTATTCGGACATCATGTGGGAGGCCTCTGAGAGTGTCCCCAGCATTTCCGAGAAGGCCCAGGTGGCTTCCAGAGCACCCCTCACGATGCGGACAAGATTGATCCAGTTGCCAGCGGCAAGTCCCGCAACCGTGCCAGCCCAGCATGGGACAGGAGGGCGCCTTGTGTGACACCTCGGGCCGCTTGAGGGCCTTGATGCGGTTTGGGTGCATCTTGGGTCCCTTTCGAGAGTTTCTTGGAAGCCTCTTGGGGCTGTTAGCAGCATCTCGGGGGCGCCTCGGAGACTCTTGGTGGTGGCTCCTTGGGCCGTGTGAGGGCGCTCTTGGGCCGTCTGGGCGCTTTCGATGTCCGTCTTGGGGGGCTCTCTGTGTCGTCTTGGGGACCTTGAGGGCCGTCTGAGGGTCCTTCGGGCCGACCTGGGGTCCTCTTGGACCGCTTTGGGGCCATCTTGGAACCCTCTTCGGCCGTCGTGGGGCCCTCTTGAGGCCCTCGCGTGCCGTCCCCAGGCCACCTTAAAGGCTTCATTGGCGCCTTGAGCTGACGGAAGACCGGAAAGGTGATAACGTGGAAATACATCAAAAGCGGTAAGGGAATCAACGATTTTGGCAGCTTCGGGCGCTCCTGGAGGTTATCTTGGAGCCCTCTTGGGCCGTCTTGAGGGCCTCTTGGGCAGTCTTGAGGCCATATCAGGGGCCCTCTTGGAGCCGTCTTGGGCCATCTTGGACGCTCCAACGCCTCGCCGTCCCCCCCGTCCAGGTCCAGGCGAGGAGGTAGGGGGAGGGGTAAACCCCTTCCCGAAGCGGAAGAAGGGGGTTGGAAGAGGAGCCTCCCTAGACCACCTACGCCCAGAGGGCTGGTGGGACTTTGCCAAACAGCCCTTGGCATTACATCACGCCTCAATGTGCTGGGGAGCACGGTGGCAGATACGCATGTCCATTGTGTTTGGGAGATGTGGCTCCCTTCTTTAGAAGCCAGAGAAGCAGAGGATATGCATAAAAATTTGGCCTCTAGCGAGGCCAGATCTTTATGCATATCCGCTGCGCCCCTTGTTGGTGGCATCCCTTCGCAAGAGTCCAAGACGCCATGGATGTGAAAATTAGCCTGGCGAAAGACCCAACCATATGCAGTTGTGAGTACCGCAATTGTGAATATCTTTTTCGGTGGCGCTCCCTACGAAACGTTGTACTGGGTGGGTGAAACGCAGGGAGGAAGGGCTGTGTTGGGTGGTGGCGGACGCATGCGGGCGGTGCCACTGGGACCTTCCGTGGAGCCCCCTTATGGGGCCACGAAACGCCGTATTGGGTAGTTGAAACGCAAGGAGGAAGGGCTGTGCTGGGTGATGGCGGACGCATGCGAGCGGTGCCACTGGGACCTTCGGTGGAGCTCCCCATGGGGCCACGAAACGCTGCGTTGGGTGGGTGAAACGCAGGGAGCAAGGGCTGTGCTCGGCGGTGGCGGACGCATGCGGGTGGTGCCACTGGGACCTTCGGTGGAGCCCCCATATGGGGCCACGAAACATTGTACTGGGTAGGTGAAACGAAGAGAGCAATGGCTGTACTGGGTCGTGGCGGGCGCATGCGGGCGGTGCCACTGGGACCTTCGGTGGAGCCCCCTTATGGGGCCACGAAGCGCTGTACTGGGTGGGTGAAACGCAAGGAGCAGGGGCTGTGCTGGTTGGTGGCGGGCGCATGCGGGCGGTGCCACTGGGACCTTCGGTGGAGCCCTTTTTTTATGTGGCCACGAAACGTTGTATTGGGTGGGCGAAACGCAGGGAACAAGAGCTGTGCTTGTTGGTGGCGGACGCATGCGGGCGGTGCCACTGGGACCTTCGGTGGAGCTCCTTTTTTATGGGGCCACGAAACGTTGTACTGGGTGGGTGAAACGAAAGGGCTGTATTGGGTGGTGGCGGACGCATGCGGGAGGTGCCACTGGAACCTTCGGTGGAGCTCCCTATGGGCCCACGAAACGTTGCACTGGGTGGGTGAAACGGAGGGAGCAAGGGCTGTGTTGAGTGGTGGCGGACGCATGCGGGCGGTGCCATTGGGACCTTCGGTGGAGCCCCCATATGGGGCCACGAAACCTTGTACTGGGTGGGAGAAAAAACACAGAGAGCAACGGCCGTGTTGGGTGGTGGCGGGCGCATGCGGGCGGTGCCAATGGGACCTTCGGTGGAGCTCCCTATGGGGCCACGAAGCGCTGTACTGGGTGGGCGAAACGCAGGGAGCAAGGGCTGTGCTGGTTGGTGGCGGACGCATGCGGGCGGTGCCATTGAGACCTTCGGTGGAGTCCCCTTTTTGAGGCCACGAAACGTTGTATTTGGTGGGTGACACGCAGGGAACAAACCCTGTGTTGGGTGGTGGCGGACGCATGCGGGCGGTGCCACTGGGACCTTCGGTGGAGCCCCCTATGGGGCCACGAAGCGCTGCACTGGTGGGTGAAACGCAGGGAGGAAGGGCTGTGTTGGGTGGTGGCGGACGCATGCGGGCGGTGCCACTGGGACCTTCCGTGGAGCCCCCTATGGGGCCACGAAGCGCCGTATTGGGTAGTTGAAACGCAAGGAGGAAGGGCTGTGCTGGGTGATGGCGGACGCATGCGAGCGGTGCCACTGGGACCTTCGGTGGAGCTCCCCATGGGGCCACGAAACGCTGCGTTGGGTGGGTGAAACGCATGGAAGAAGGAGGAGGGAGGGAGGAGGGGGAGGAGGAGGAGGAGAGGAGAAGAGGAACGCGGGGACCGTGTCTTCAAAACGAGGACCCAACACCACAGGATGGTTGGGAAAAACCTTGGCCAGGTACCCTGACATCCGCCGGCGCGATTCTGCCAATCCGCGGCATCATGCAGAGATCCCGAGTCCCGACCGTTTCCCCGTGTACTTTTTTAGCCCCAGATCAATGTTTGATTGTCCCTGCGCCCGAGAGCGGACCCTGGAGTCCGAAATCAAGGAAACACGTCCGCAACGAGAAAAAAACACATCGTCGGAGATGTGGGCACGAGGCCCAGAGGGCTCCAGGAGCGCCAACATGGCGCGAAGAGCTGGGGGCACTCGGGGCCGGGACTGCTTCTGGCAATACCCGGCGAGCGGGCCTCGCCAGAGGAGCAGGGGCTCGTGATGGCCAGGTCGGGGCCGCAACTCCTGGGAGGATTGGGATCCACGGCTTCTGGCCCGATCCGGCTCGGTCCTGTTTACGTCACCGAGCGCGTTCCATTGCTCGCAAAGTGCCTACTCGCAAACCCCCGAACACTTGTTTGTTGCCTCGACGTAATGTATCGTGGATCCCCCGCGGCGGATCCAGGCCGTTTGCGCGTAGTTACTTTCTGCGAGTAGTGAAAGGCGCTTGTCTATTACGGTCAGGAATTTTGGCTTAGCGTGTCGCACCTCCAGTTCCGGCCCACCACGCTCCGGCCCGACACAGTAGCCACGCCCCAGTCCCCGCGGGACGACACGTTATCCATTTGAATGGCACAGCGTGTCGCCCGGTCCGACGCCGCCACACGCTAAGCAAAAGTTCCCGGCCGCAAGATCCCGCTTACAATCCGGCTCGGCCTATGGCCAGATTGGCCCACCAGCCTTCAATCCGGGCCGATTGACCTTGGAGATTTTGGTGTTGCAATCACATACCCAGCGTGTTCGCCAGGTTTCGGACTTCGGGACCACGGTCGTGATTTTCTGGATGCTGTATTTTTCGGGGTGCCCCAACCGGGGTAGTGACCACACCGTATGGTGAGTCGGGGGTGATTCGGGGGTGATTGGGGCTTTCGAGATCACAAAACCGTGTGGTGACGGACCCGGCGGTGAGGTCTTTGTGGATTTCGGGGTCACCGCCAGGCTTGTCATCACACGGTTTTGGGACCGCCACGTTTTGATTCGCAACGTGGGACATCAGGGAAGTCCTCAAGCCGATCCCAAGAAGACCTCAAGCAGCGGCAAAGCGTTTCGACTTGCCTACAAGCCCACCAACGATTCATTGTTATGAGAACCTGTTGCGGTCTGCACGACGTATCATTAGCATACTTCTGGCTGAGGCAGCCTTGGTTTCATCCAGAGGCTGGATGTACTGAGAGCCTTGCTTCTTGCTATTCTGACACACGTTCGGTTCGAAGAACACGTCGTGGTGGGCTTGTGGGCATGCCGGGACGGTCGGCCCCTGCTCAGCTCCCAGCAGTTGCTCTGACGCCAGGGGCAGGATCACGGAGGCACGGAACACGTCGGCGATGGCGCTCACGCGCCTGCAGGAGGCGCGGGCTCAGATCGCCGCCGCCGCCAAGGCCGGCGGCGCCAAGGGCAGGGGCGCTGGGCGGGGCGCCCCGAGCGGCCTGCCCGAGGGGGGCGCGCCGGAGGCCAGCGTGGCCAAGGGCAGGGGCGCCGAGCTGGGCCCGAGGGCCCCGCCGGAGGGCGGCGCGCCGGAGGCCAGAAGCGCCAAGGGCAAGGGCGCCGGGTCCGGCTTCCAGCGCTTCTCCCGGCACCCAGGGGCCCGGGGGGGGCGGCCCGCCTTCCCTTCCCACACAGGAGGGTGCGAAGTCCCTGGAGGCAGGGCGGGGTGGGCACGAGTGGGCATCATGGCCGGCTCAGAATCCAGAGAGGCAGCCTCGTCCTCGGCCGTGGCCATTGACCGCTATATCATGCGTAGCAGCATGTTCTCCCCTCGGGGCATGGCAAATCACGACGGGAGGTTTTCAGCTATTTTCAGCCTCCAGGGGCCCTCGCCAGGCCCCGTGGCCGTCAGAAACGACTCAGGATGAAAACCCCGTCCTGGCGAATGAGTCGAGACCTCTGGGGGTCGACGTCATGAAAAAATCATGACGTGGGGGTCCTGGGTTCAGGGGGGGAAGTCTGAACGCTTCGGTTTAGGGGGGGCAAGTCTGAACGCTTTAGTTTAGGAAGGGGAATTCGGAACGTTTCGCGCCCATCCAGACACGATGCCCAGAGGAGTTGCCCTGAGCGGGGGAGCGTGGCATCGTTTGCAGATGTCAGGGGCTTGCGTGGGCCAGAAAACCCTCGGATGTTTCCTTGGGTATGTTGCGGTGTGTCTTAGAAGCATTGTGGAACGACCTGGGGACTTCTTGCTGGCTTTTGCAGGGGCCTCTTGGAACTTTTCGAGTGCATCCAGGAAGCCTCTGGGGGCTCTCGTCAGGGCTTTTCGGGCCGCTTTAGGGGTAATCTGGAAGGCTGTTGGCCCAAAACGCATGGAAATCAATGATTTGTGCCGTTTCGCTGACGCTTTCTTGGACGGTCTAACCCCGCGCGGGGCGGCCCGGCCAGAGCGTGTAGGGAGAGGGGTAAACTGCATGACGGACCGTACCAATCCCAATCGTCCGTGGTATTTCTCAACGGGCCGAAAGCCGAGTGGTACCAATTACAGCCAGGCATATTAAGCCGTACGCTAGAAATCTGGTTGGGGAGCGTCATAAAAACGATTCACAAGACAAACGCAGCTCCTCAGTGTAGACAATGATCTCTAGGAGTCAACATGAGCACCAGGATTAGAATCAGTAGTTTCGAATGTACTGGCTTCCATCTGGGAGTTGAGTTGTTTTGAGGATGAGCGGCGGCCACCAGTGGCACTTCAGCTTTACGGCTATCGTATAGTCTGTGCGCAGCAATCGCACGACACATGTGCAATGCTTTGCGTTACTTAGCTGTCATGTGAGCAATGTACAACGTCCATGCTGCGAAGGTCGCCAGCGAGCATTAGAATGTATATAAGTGAGGTGTGGCTATCCATCAGATGTTAGCCCGCACGGACCCCAAACAGTGCGTGCGTCTGTGTGTCTAGCATTATATGATGCGCAGTATATGTGGTACAACCTAGGAGGTGCAACCCATGCTGTGCAATCTATATGGTGCAACCTACGTGGTGCAATATAGATATACAGCTCTATATGTATATATATATATAGAGATATAGATATATATATATATATATATATAGAAATAGATATAGATATAGATATAGATATTGAAGTAGGCCGGGGGGGGGGCGGGCCGGTACCGTACCCCCCATGGGGGGTTTGTGGGGGTCCCAGGGCTCCTGGGACTGTCCGGGCCCGCTCCCAAACACGCCACGACACGCCAAGAGGGCCCTAAAGATTGCCAAAACAGCCCCCAGAGGCCCCAGACACGCCGAAGATGGCCTCAGGACGGCCGACGACGCCGCCAAAACGTCCCAAGAGCGCCTCCACAGGCCCCTCCAAAGGGCCCCAGAAGCCGAAAATCATTAATTGCCCAAAGGTTTTTGAAGCATTTTTGCGCTCTCCCATGTTCCGCCTCCCCACGGTCCCGGACGGCGTCATAGGCCCTTCAGATCGCTCCAAGACGGCCGAAGAGGCTCCCCAGATAATTCAAGAGGGCCTCGAGAGCGCTCCAAGAAAGCCCCAAGAGCGACCCAAGAGGACCCGAAGAGCGCGACATTTCAAGGTCTCCAGCCTGAGAGGCTCCTAGGACGCCCCTGGAGGCCATCAAGAGGCTCCCAAGAAGCCCCGTGAGGCTCCCAAGAGGCCCCCCGGAAGCCCCAAGAGGCCCCCAAGGGACCCCCAGGGAAGCCCATTGCGGGCCCCCAAGAGACTTCGGTAAATCGCATTTCTCAGACAGCTTTCCGGGAACATGATTCCTTAGGTTTCCGCCCACCGCCCCAACCATGTTTCCAATAGGTTTGCCGACAAGGCGAAAAGGGGCCCCTCGGTAAGCCCCCCCCCTCTTAAGAGAGCCGAACAAATCATGTTCCCGGAAAGCTTCCCGGGAACATGATTCTCGGGTTGCCGCCCTTTGCCCAAACCATATTCTCTAAACGCTTGCCAGGAAAACAAAAAACGAGAGTCCCAAGCAGCGCTACCTGCCGCCACGCTCGGAAACGCGTCAGGCCCCGAAGCCTCCGGAGGCGCCCAACGACACCCCAACAAATCATGTTCCCAGGAAGCCTTCTGGGAACAGGATTCCTCAGGCTTCCGCCCCCGGCCCAACCATGCGTCTCAAAATGCTTGCCGGGCCACCCCTCTCTTGGATCGTCTTCGCGTCCTTTTGGTTGCCCCTGAAACCACCGTAGAAATCGAGGTCCCATGAGTTGAAAAAGAATTCCTTGTATTTCAAACTCACCACCTGCGTATTGTTACACGAAGATCCCCAGAGGCATCCAAACGGACCGTGGCCTGCATCCAGAAAGCTCTAACCCACAGCCCAGGCACGGCAACTTAAAAATTATCCCGGCAAAGCAACCTAACAGCGATGTGTAGGAGCATATCTGGAAGCATTCCCCTTAAGATTCAGATGAGAACCCAGTTGTAGAATTCTGCTGTTCTCGCAGTCGTAGTCGCATTCGCGATGACAGTCGCAGTGGCAACGGCAGTCGCAGCCTCAGCCTCAGCCTCAGCCTCAGCCTGCCTCAGCCTCAGCCTCAGCCTGCCTCAGCCTCAGCCTCAGCCTCAGCCTGCCTCAGCCTCAGCCTCAGCCTGCTCAGCCTCAGCCTCAGTCTGCCTTCAGCCTCGGCCTCAGCCTCAGCCTGCCTCAGCCTCAGCCTGCATCAGCCTCAGCCTCAGCCTCAGCCTGCCTCAGCATCAGCCTGCCTCAGCCTCAGCCTCAGCCTGCCTCAGCCTCAGCCTCAGCCTGCTTCAGCCTCAGCCTCAGTCTGCCTTCAGCCTCGGCCTCAGCCTCAGCCTGCCTCAGCCTCAGCCTGCATCAGCCTCAGCCTCAGCCTCAGCCTGCCTCAGCATCAGCCTGCCTCAGCCTCAGCCTCAGCCTGCCTCAGCCTCAGCCTCAGCCTGCTTCAGCCTCAGCCTCAGCCTGCCTCAGCCTCAGCCTCAGCCTCAGCCTGCCTCAGCCTCAGCCCTCAGCCGCCTCAAGCCTTCAGCCTCAGCCTCAGCCTGCCTCAGCCTCAGCCTCAGCCTCCTCAGCCTCAGCCTCAGCCTCAGCCTCAGCCTCAGCCTCAGCCTGCCTCAGCCTCAGCCTCAGCCTCAGCCTCAGCCAGCCTCAGCCTCAGCCTCAGCTGCCTCAGCCTCAGCCTCAGCCTCAGCCTGCTTCAGCCTCAGCCTCAGTCTGCCTTCAGCCTCGGCCTCAGCTCTTCCTGCCTCAGCCTCAGCCTGCATCAGCCTCAGCCTCAGCATCAGCCTGCCTCAGCATCAGCCTGCCTCAGCCTCAGCCTCAGTCTGCCTTCAGCCTCGGCCTCAGCCTGCTTCAGCCTCAGCCTCAGTCTGCCTTCAGCCTCGGCCTCAGTCTCTTCCTGCCTCAGTCTCAGCCTGCCTCAGCCTCAGCATCAGCCTGCCTCAGCATTTAAAAAGTTGCCCGGGAATGGAGTTCTGGGAACTCGAAGAACACGAAGTGGCCCACAGTTGGCTCCAGGCATTCAAAATCATGCCCAGGAATGGAGTTCTGGGAACTCGAAGAGCACCAAGTGGCCTACAGTTGGCTCCGGGCATTCAAAATGTGGCCCGAGAATTGAGTTCTGCGAACTCGAAGAGCACGAAGTGGCCTACAGTTGGCTCCGGGCATTCAAAATGTGGCCCGGGAATAGAGTTCTGTGAACTCGAAGAGCACGAAGTGGCTTACAGTTGGCTCCGGGCATTCAGAATGTGGCCCGGGAATGGAGTTCTGGGACCTCGAAGACCACGAAGTGTGCAACTGTTTACTTACAACGACTTCCGCGGGTTCTCCCCGGCACCCGCCCAGACCCCTTTGTGGAGTCAAGATGCTCTCTTTTGACATTACTAGAAACCTATCAGTCTTTGCTGTTAGGTAAAAATGAATCCCACAATTCTGTTTTTTTCCGTTCGCCCCCTGTCTACTTTCGCACAACAGACCACAATGAAAGCCCCCCTCAGCTCCCAGAGAAGAAACCAGGAAGCCTTTGAGGGCCCCAAATCGTTGAACACCTAACGGGAATTAATGACTCCAGCGTTTCCGCAGTTCCCTTCCTGTACGGTTGCAAGGCTTGCGCAGGACCTCGAAGAGAGCCCCTGGATGCAAGAAGCGGCAACAATGACCATGATTTAGCCCATCAAGCCTAGCTAGAACTCGAGCGCGCGCAAAGCGCGCGCGATGATTCTAGTACGTATATAAATATGTTCGGCATATGTAAATGTAGATATAGATATGTGCATAAAGGTACACATACGGATTGCACCCTGTGTGGCGCAATCTGCGTTGTGCAACCCACGTGGTGCAATATATGCGGCTCAACACACGGTGTGCAAGCTATGCGGTACAGTCTAAGCGGTGCAGCCGATTTTTACAAACGAGTCGACACATCCCACGCTCTTGCAAACATCCCACCAACCCACCCGCAACTTGGTTTGCTAAACCTATGCGGCGGCGATTGCGATGAGTGCTTGGCGTTGGCTTGTGCATCTCTGCGGCCGCGCCGACCCAAGCACGCGCGCGCAGAAGCCAGCTAGTTTGGCGCGGCCGGCGCGGCCGCGGTGGCGCTGACCGCAGGGCACATCCCAGCGGACATTGCAGTGCGAGTCGGCGACT